AATATTATTAATTCTTTGACTTCATTGTTGGTCATTAATTTTTTTATTTTTTCCCGCTCCTTTTCGATACTAGATCTAGACGATTTTATCACATTGACACTTCTGACAGTCATTCTCCAACCGTTAGAGACAGCGTACATATTTTATCTTTGTGCTTTATAATCATGACTCACCTCAGTTGGATTTTCATCATTTGAATACATTTTATATAGGCCTGATTATTTTTAAGGTAATTGAGTGATTTAGGATTTGTTTTCAATTTTACATATATTTTACATATTATTATTTTACACACATTTAGATTGTCTATTAATTTAACTTGTATTATCAATTTAATTTGTATTTTCGACAAGCCTGTAATCCTGATCATCGGGAATGTGCTTGAAAAGGACCAAAACCCTTGGTCGAAACGTCGTACTGTATATTTCTTTATTTAATTTATTAAACACGTGCCACAGTTGACTAAACTTATTCATTGTTATTTGTTACTGACAACCTAAAGAAATTATTATCTTTGTTCATATTAGTTGAATAAGCCTCCGCCCCACCTCCAGGGAAGGCGGTAGGCGGCTAACGTTTGCAGAATTGTCTCGAAAATATTCAAAGTTTATTTGGAATATTTTTCGTATAATGCTTATTTTTCCACATATTTTGCAATTTGAATTTAAAAACTCACCCCGCACACACACGCACACGCACACGCACACATATGTATGTTTGTTATATTTATATATTTTTCTGTTGTATATTTATGTTTTCTATTTTATATTTATTAAATATTTAATGGACAGGTTTAGTCGACTCTGTCACGTGTTTAATAATTAAAATAAAAAATAAAAGTATACAGTGACGTTTCGACAATGGGTTTATGTCTTTATCAAGCACAAATTGTAGAGAAAGCACACAATCTTCGGAATTACACGCTTATCATAGCTACAAATAAGAATAAAAATAAAATAAAATTTCAAACTAAATAGACCAAAATTGTATGTACAATAGTGATATGTAAAATGAGACGCGACCATATACAGGGTGTCTGATGCAAAAGTAGCCACTTTGCAAATAGCGGTAGATTGGGTTAAACTAAGGAGAAATATCATGTACCGAGGTACAAAGTAACAATAGTTATCGACAAAGAAATTTATACGTTTGAGCGAATGAGGATGCAGGAGACGGTAGGCCGGACTCGGGAGGCATTTAAGAAAATCGATCAATGAGCGGGAGGTGGAGCGACGCGCGAGATACACCGTGGTGGGAAAAAACCTAGGTGCGGCGGGGAGCGCGGCGCGGGCGGCGAGCGCGGCAGCGAGCGCGAGCGGCGAGGAGCGCGGTGCGGGCGGCGAGGGGGGG